AGGAAGGAAGGAAGGAAGGAAGGAAGGAAGGAAGGAAGGAAGGAAGGAAGGAAGGCTGCTACCCCGCACCTGGTCCAATCCACTCAGGCAGCTCTGGGCACCCTCCTGCTCCTGCGCCAGGGAGCAGGGGCCAGTGCCCACCTGATCTCACACATCCCCCCAAGGCTTCTTGGCTGCCCCTTCCAAGCAGACCTCCCTCCTCAAGCTCCCTTTGGTCTCTCCCCAGTAAGACACACCCAAGAGGCGCACTTTTGCCACCTGGATGAGATTCCATCGATCACAAGGATAGCCATCTTCTTGCTGAATCACCGATCAATCACTGAACCACAGATTCTAACCACAAGGGCTGCGCGGTTCCCTTTGTGGAAGAACCCAAACCTTTCTGAGACAGAGCCCTTTGGATATTTTGAGGGTGTGTGGTGGGCGCACTCACAAAATGGCTGCCACCACAGGCATGGCCAGTCACAAATCCCTCCTTTACCAGAAGGAGCTTTGCAAATAAGTGATGCCAGAGGCTGGAGTTCTGCTTTGCAACGTGCCACCTGCATATCTAAAAATTAAAACGATGTCTGCAGAAAAGTCAGGTGGGGCAGCAAACGTGGTGGGTGCCCTGGAGGGGTCTGAAGACCAAAGGCCCGCCCTGGCTTCAGGCTTCAGCGCATCTATTTGGGAACGAGCTCCTTTTGGTCTACGTTTTGGCTGAATGACACTGGCAGCCTCGGTCAACAAAACCCTGCATTCTTACAAATAATAAGGCAGCAGGTTTCAAAATATGGTGTTGCTATTTTAATGCACACCGCCAATTGCAACGGTGCCTTAGAGGAGTCCTGCCCCACATTCCCCAAACAGAGCGAAAAACAACGGCAACACTGCAGTGCCCGCCCCCCCGGATGCCACATGAAGGCCGGCTTTGACCACGCGCAGACCGAGAGCGAGGCTCACCCTCCCACCTGATGAACCACCTGCAGTCTCTCTCAAGAGCTTCTGCGCCTACCTTGGGTGGTGGTTTCTCCGTCAGTCCCGGCCAGGGGCACCACCCCTTTATCAACCTGTGAAGGAAGAGGGATCTGTTACGGCCGCTGCTCCCTGCCCAGCCGGGACCACCGCTGGGAAGACTGAACGATCGCGGCCAGGGTGGGGCGGGTAGGCGGGCCCCTCCCCCCCAAGGCGACAGGCAGCAGAAGGCCGGCCCGACCCAGGCTCTCGAGGGAAGAGGATCCAGGCAGCCCCCACTGCGCCCCGAAGGAGCAACTTTGCAAAGACCCCAGATGATTCAGGACCGCAAGTGAGCGCTTCTGCCTTTGTCCCCCCACCCACCCAACCTGGTAGCGAGCTCTGCATCTGCCCAGGCAGCCTCCGAAAAATGGGAAGCTCCTCTTTCCTTTCCTTTCCTTTCCTTTCCTTCCCTTCCCTTCCCGGCCTGGCGGCTTTTCTGCTTGATCAGACCACTCGGGTGGGCTTGACCCCTTCCCCTCCCGGGCCTCTGACTGCCGAGGGGCAGGCGGACCACACTGTCATGGCCCGCTGACGGAGCTCAGGGAGGTTGGCGACTTCCCTCAAGAGCTCCGTTTTGGGAATGTGGACGGGGAGGGGTGGAAACTCCTTTAGAGCCCTCCCCAGCCCCGTTGGCAGGATCCCAACCCCGGAACCAGCAGCCTCTTCCTCCGCCGCCCCAGGTTCTGCACCGCTGGTCCCCACTCCGGCACTGTTTTCAGCCAAGGAGAACAAGTCGTGCAGAGGGAAAGAGGACGCTCCTCCTCCTCTCAGGGTGGGGGGGGGAGGATCACAGGGAGCCCTGAAAAGCACCTTGATGCCCACAACAATGTCCTTGTCCTTGATCATCTCCACGAAGGGCGTGCCGTCATCTGCCTTCTGGTACAAGGTTTCGTGGAAGAAGATGACGCCCCCGATGCACTTCTTGACCCGGCTGTCTGCGCTGAAAAGGATCTGCCGGTACAGGCGGCGGTTCTCCTCGGTGTTTTCCACCCCAATTTGGTTCAGCCGCTTGGCCATGCTGCCTGCGGGAGAGGAGAAGGAAGCCACCCTGAGCTTGTGCCCGGTGCACAGCATGGTCCGTCCCCCAGCCTTGGCTCTTCCCACCTGTCAAATGGGCATCACGGCCTCCTGACAAACAGAGACCCCGAGGGTGCAGATCACAAGCAAAGGACTGAAAACGTGGCCTTGGTGAGAAATCGTGGTTACACGTGCTTCCTCTGCCCCTGGGACCCACCCACCAGGCCCCCGAGCTCCAGCAGGACAGAGGGGCCCTTCGCATCCCCAGGGAACACATCCAAGGGCCCCTGACTGTCTGAAAACCAGGGCTCCTCCTCTGAGATCCGGCGCCTGCTCTCCCTGCCCTCCCAGGAGAAATGAGGCTGCACCTCAGGGGTCGTTTCAGCCCCTGCCTTTCCCAGGACACCCCCTCCCCCGCCGGCTGCTGCCATTCTGCGACTGGGAGTGACGCCCTCCTGGAGAAGGGGGCTCCAGGCCAATCTCCGCAAATGCAAGGCTGCCCTGTGCCTCCCTGCCCGTCCCACTCAGGCGGACGCCGAGGACCTGGCTGCAATCCAGACCCACCTACTGATTCATCGGCTGCCAGGATGCCCTTGCCCGGGGCCACAATTCGCTGGGCAATGTCCGAGAGCGCCTTCTTCTGCTCGGCAGTGAGAGCGGGGTATTGGTGGGTCATCTTGGCTGACTTTCTCTGGAAGGGCATCAAAACATGTCACCCAACGGTTGCCAGGGTTATTGTGTCCTCATCATCCAGATCGATTTGCAGCTGTTGGACTACAAACGCGGGCCCTGCATTTGCAGGCAAAAACGTCCCAGGACCAAACTTCATGTGTTGTTTGCAGACTATTCCATACCAGCCCCATTTCCCATACTTTTTTTTCCTCCTAGATTTTTAACCACCTTGTTTGGTGAAGAAGAGGGAAGCTCAGCAACGTCCTTTTCCTAAACCTTCACCTGGCCACAGTGAAGCACTGCCACGATATGGATGGTTATTTTCTCTTCTTTTCTCTCTCTATGGGGGATCCACAACCCCAGAATGCCCAGCCAGCCTGGGCAATGGTCCCGAGCAACCACTTCCCAGAGGTTTTACTATTCACACGGTTTGCAATTTCTGAAGAGTGCAGATGCTGGAGGGGAGGCTCTGCAGAGAACAACCCTCTCTTCTCAAGACACGTAAAGCCAGGAGGGAAGAGGAGACAGTTGAAGGTCGAGTAAATAAATAGTACTCTGCATGCGCTCAGAGTCACAATTACTACATTTCTTTCACACGCTGTAGGAGAGAAAATTATCATTCTGGAGCAGGACTTCCAGCGCAAGTTGAGAAGCAGCGGTCTCTGCCTCCGTCGCCATGGCACCAAGGCCACAATTTGCCTCTCTGCCAAAGGCACCATTCTGCCCTCCTGCCAACCCAGGCCTTTCCAGAGCATCAGCTGCATAACTGGAGCAGGATGGCCTATTTCTGGCAGCCACCGCAGACATGCGCCCGGCCTCGTGGCCCAGCCAGCAGACGGAAGCCCCCCCTGCTGGCTCCCCCCGCCCACTAAGGCTACTGTTCATTACAGTATGTCAAGATTAGCTCCATCACTGCCTGCCAAAGCTGCATCTCTGTAAGGTGTCTCCTCTGAAGCCTGGGGCAAAGCTTGCCCCCGAAGATGGCACGCAAAGCGCCATTTCCATTCCCCGTGGCTGCTGAGTCATGTCTCAGCCTCTGTTGCTAGACTGCCATCCTGGTTTGCTGCAACAGCTGTTTTGTTTGGTTTTTTTAAAGCTAGGTTTGATATATTTTACTCTCTAATTGATGCTTGTTCTCCTGTCCCTGTATTTTCACAAGAGAAAGAGAGAGAACAGCATTATGCTAGAACCTCAAGCAGGGAACCCTCCAGATTAGTTGGACTGCCACTCCTGCCATGGCAGGCAGAGGAAGGGAGCTGCATTCCGGCGCGGAGACTCTCTTTGTACATCTGGACCACAGCCATCTGGGCAAGCAAAGCCAGCGCCATCCAGATGTCTCTTGTTACAGAGGTCGTGTCCTGTGGTTGCCAAGGCCGAGCAATCCTGCCCACTTAGGGCACAGGAAGGGAAGTGCTGCAGCCACCAGAGCCACCTCCCGCCACCAGCCAGCATCAAGGGGAGGGGCCAGTAGGGCCAAAAGCCAGCAGCGGCTGGGCTCGGTGACCTTGCCGTTTCCTTGTCTGTTTTTCTGCCTCCCCCCCCCCCCCCGACAAGCCATTTGGAGCAGCCAGGCGCCTTCCTCGGCATCACCCGCTCAGTCTGCAAGGGCTCTGCTGCAGCCGCACAGGAACCTCGAAATCTCGCCCCTTCTCCCCTGCTCGGCAGCTCCCCCGCCCTCGCATCAGGATGGCCAAAGACAGGGAAGGGCCAGCCCGCAATCCCTGGAGCGCTGCTGAGGCGCCTTCATCTTCTCCGCCTTCCAGGCTTCCCAGCCGGGCGCGCAGCTGCACCAGAGCCGGCAGCCTCCAGATGGAAGACAATTAAAGGGATAAATCAGAGGCGGCAGGAGCGCCTTTAGCGCGACCTGCCCCCCAAGCCCCTCCAGCAGCGAGAGGAAGGGTCAGCGGAATCCCTGGGGTCCTCCGAGCTTGGCTGTTTTCTCGCAAGCATTTCGTTACCCAGCTAGGTAACATCTTCAGTGCTAGAAGGGAGCGGGGTTTGTTCTCTGTTTATATGCTGTGGCATGAACGTTTGCAAGAAAACAGCCAAGCTCAGAGAACCCGAGGACTCCGCGGTTCAACCAGAGCTACGCATATTCGCTTCTGTTGGAGGAAGGGTCAGCCG